GACCCATCTCCAGCAGGAGAAGCTGGGCATCATCTCACCCTCACCACAGGTACAGCCAGCTCAGGCACTCCCTGGAAAGGGGGGAGCCTTAAGTACTCATGCTCAAAACCTTCCAGCCTTTTGCTCCTGATGCAATTGATCAAGGACTAATTGAAAGCAGGTTTTTTGCAATGCTGTAGCAGAGACCTCTTTGACCCAAACCTCAAAGTACTATTATCTTATTTACACTACTTATAAAATGTCACCTGCACTATGTGTGGACATGTCAGAGAGCTTTGGAAACCTTGAAAGCTTTGAGTACTGATACTGAAGAAAACTGTTTCGATTGGCATCTGGTATTGCCAGAACAGGGCTTCCTGCTTTCTGACCATTCTGGGCTGGAAGAAGACCTGGTGAAATGTTTGTTTTGTGTGTGGTCAGACACAGGATGATGCTGTGGAGCCAAAGATGGGGCAGACAGGGTCAGCTGCTGCTAGTCCAACGCATCCCATGGGAAACCCAGGTGTGAAACCTTTCCTAGAACCAGTAGCGCTTCTCTTGATGGGGCTTTGCTTTTCACTCTGAGCTGCCAAGGGTTGCTGCCAGCACCAGGACATGTTCATCTGTCCACTGGGGGGTACTGCTCTGGCTGGTGCTGCCTGGGGTACACAAGCAGGTTGTGGAGCTGCTGGTCTCCTGCAGAGCTGAGGGTTCAAGCCCAGCCTGAGGCTTTGCAGCATCCTGGAGGCCAGATGCTTGTATTCAACAGAACAAGCCCCTGGTGCTCCCTGCAAAGATGAGGCCCTCCATGGCCTCACTGCCTTACACCAACTTCTGTCACATTGCACGGCAGCAACACAATGGCACAGGTCTCTTGCTCCCACCCCTGACTTTGCAGGCAGCCCTGAAACAGATGTTGTGTGACACCCACGGGTGCTCAGTACATTACCCCCAGGATTAAGCCATCTCTGGCAGGGCCAACTCTAGCAGGTCCATTGGTGCTTGCAGCCCCCTCCAGATTGCATCTTGAACACTGACGTGTGGTGGTACTAACACTGACAGAGCAGTGAAACTTGCAGAAATGCTTTGTTGCTGTGACAGCAACTTTGCTCCCTCATGTCTCAGTCCCCAACTGTGTGGGCTTGGAACAGGCTGCCCAGGGAGGTGGTGGAGGCACCGTCCCTGGAGGTGTTCACAAAACAGATAGACATGGTGCTTCAGGAGATGGTTTAGTGGTCATGGGGTGTAGGGCTGACAGTTGGACCTGATGAACTTGAAGATCTCTTCCAACCTTAATGATTCTGTGAGTGTTCTGCTGGCAGCTCTCAGTTTGGCCATGGTGGTGGAGACTGAGCCGTGGGCTGCTCCCTGGAGCTGTGGGACACCATGGGGTACGTGGGGCAGTGCTGCTTCTTCAGGTGCTTTGGGAGGAACCTGGAGGTCTGTCCTTCCACCTGAAGTAAGGAGAAGATGAGTCAGGACCTTTGGGCAGATGGACACTGGTGTCCCTCAGTGTCCAGTGCCTGGCAGGGCAGCTCCCAGCAAGAACTTGTCTTCTCCTGCCTACTGGGACAGTGGCCTTTCTGACCGGGCCTCACATCATGGTGCTAATGGTGTCTGCTGAGAAGCAGCCTGGAGCCCACTAGATGCAAGCTGGTTTTGCCAGGTGCATTTTCCTCACCACTCCCTCACTCTTGCTGGGTGCTGAGCGTGATCAGTGCTGCCACCAGGTAATTTAAATGATTCCTAGTAAGCCTTGAAATCAAATTGCAACAGAAATCTGCTCCTCATCTGGCTGCCCTGGTGCACAGAAACGCAGTTTTCCTGTGACTTCAGAACCCAAGGGAGGTGCAGTGCCTGGAGCTGCAGACAGCACTGCTGGAGCCAGGGCTGTGCTGCCCATCCTGCCCCATCCCGCCTGTCCCGCTGCTCAGTGACCAAGGATAGGGCAGAACTGGGGATGCTGGGGGGCAGAGCTTCCCTGTGGAGGGCAGCAGGGGGGATGGAGCCTTCGTGGGTCGTGGTGGCTCAGCAACAACTCGCTGACTTTAGCAGAGGCTTTTAGACATTTCTGTTAATAGGTTTCAAACATAACCACCATTAGTCCCTCCACAAAGAGAAAGTCTTCATTATGCAAATTCTCATCTTAAAGCTTTATTCATGTGCTTCCTGGCAGGCTTTCCTTTAATCTCAAGAGCAAGATTGCTTGGAATTACCATATACCCTTGTTAATTGCATTAAAAAAAAAAAAAAAAAATCAGCAGAGGTTGTTTTTGCCATAATCAAGACTGACTTTGATTAGTACTTCTGGAAATCAAAATGTTTCACTGGGAATGGAGAAAGAGGACAGCAGCATTGTCTCCTCCCCCATGAGGACAGGGCCCATCCCAGCTAGGGGCTGTGTCCCTCTCCTGGGACATGCTGGCCATGCCCTGGACTGGGATGATGCACCCCCAGGCTCAGCAGAGAAGTCCAGCTGCTCCAAGGATGTCCTTACCCTCCTGGCCCACCAGCACTGCTCCCAGTGATTGTCGGTAACATCCCAGCTCCAGGGAGCTCTGTTCTCTCTTCGTGCGTAGGACTGTGCTTTGGTCGCAGTAGTCAGCAAGAACTTGAGATGTGTGAGCAACTTGGCACTTGCAAGTAAATGTCCCAGGTGTTTGGCAGGCAGCTGGGGTCAGTGCCCAGGCAGAGGTGGTGGAGAGCATCAGGGAGTCTGAAGCTCTGGTCTGTGCTGACCAGGATCACTGCTCTGGCTGGCATAATTGTTCCATTGCCTGATCCAGGGGAGGTCCTTGAGGACCCTTGGTGCTGCCAGAGGCACCCCAGCTGCTGCAGACCACACCTGCACCCACAGAGGAGCAGCCGTGTGCCCCCTGCAGACCTTTGGGGCTGTATCTTTGCTGATCCAGCAGGACATGTCGCTGCAAGGATACAGTCCAGCACCAGCAGCACAACACAGCTCTGCACCCAAACCCCCTCCGTCCCAGCGCCCCGTGGAGGTCCCAGTGCAGCCGTGGGTGCCCCGTGCAGGGAACCACCCGCCCGTGCTGACACCACAACCCAGAGCCAGAAAGACAAGGTTGATCTGTGGGGAGACCCTGGTGCACTGGGTTACCTTGGCACGCTTCCCTGCTGCTCTCCCACCCGCTGCCCGCCGCGCCGCTCCTCCGGCAGGTGCGCACAAGCCGGGCAGTTGGAATTACTTTCTGCTGCCCTTGTACCTGCTTTGCATTCTCCCGTAATCTCCCAGGCTGTCAATCTCGTACCCGTCGCGGGCTCTCAATTCCCAGGGAAGCTAAACACATATATATTGCACAAAGAGATCCGGGGGCTGGCTCTAAAAATGGAACACACCTCGCTCCGAGTGCTGCAGAGGGCCTGCCAGTGCACTGGGTGTGAATTATGATACTGTAATTCATGCTTTGTCAAACAGTGGGGCTTAATTAGAATATATATATAATTGTAAAAACTAAAAAGCTGACGAGTACAATTGCCTGTTTGAGCTGTCTGCTACAGAAAATAATGAGGAGAGAATACATTAAGGCACAAAACCCTTCTACCTTCAAAGAGCAGCTAGCTCTGATTAAAAATACTCCCAGCAAGGCGAGGGGATGCAAAGAGAGGCAGGGGAGCCTGCGGCACCAGCTCAGCCATAACTCTCACCTCTGTTTTACAGCCTCCACCCACCACAGCTTCAGCCTTGGGTTCCCCCCACCTCCCTGCTCTGGCATTGGGGGATTCATGTTGGGTACCATGAGATGTCCCAGCTTAGTTTCTTTTGATTGCCATATTAAAGAAAAATACAGAAAACAAGTCTTGTTTGCCCATTTTCCCCCTGCCATAGACCTGAGGTACCTCACTGCCCTCTGTCAGCTGGCACACAGGGCTGGCATCACCTCCCAGCTGCCTTTTCTCCCAGCACCCAGAGGCAAAAGTTCTTCCAAGGACCCAGTGCAAGGGTGGGGAAAAAATCCTCCAAACTAGTCATCAACCCCAGCAAAGATCCTATACTGCTCCCTGTCACCAAGCAACCATCAAGGTAAATGTGTCCTGAGTACTGGTTGGCTTTTTAGCGTCTGGCTATGAAATGCTGGGTTGGTTACCCCTTAATAACTTAGTAAAAGAATGAGGGGGAGAGTGTTCAGCTCTTGGCTGTTGGAGGGAGCAGGCAAGTTTGCAGGCCTCTGACAGCAGTGCTTAGTTATTGATCCATAAAATGTGTAATATGTCTCTGTAACACCCTTTGCATGAAATAAAGTTGTTGTCAGCTGCAATTAAGTGGCAATCTATTAATAAACCTTGCCAACGCCTAGGGAATTCCTGGGTTTATATTGCCCTGGAAAAGGATCTCGGCTTGCTGTGGGTAGCGGTGGGAAATCCTTGGGAAAGGGGCTGTGCCAAGCTGTTTTACATCAGCCCCACAAGGGCAGAGGGCCCTGAACACCCTTCACCCCCCTGGACCCACTGGCAGCTCTTTGGAGGGTGATTTTGGAAGTGGAACATTCCTCTCGTCCTGCAGGGTGAGATGCCAAGGGTGGCTGTCACCGAGCCGGGGAGGTGTAAGTGCTGCTCAGCCTGCAGGGCCAGTGAGGCCCCTAGAGTCAGGCAGGGTAGAGCCCGTGTTTTGAGGCAGCCCCACGACCCCCACACACCCCCGGGCCATCTGCTCCCCCTCACTTTCACACTTGGTCTCCTACATCAAAGGTGAAGCACGGGAGGATGTGCTGACAGCAGAGCTCGGCGTGCAGCAAATCAGCCCTTAACATTTACTTAATCACAGAGAGCAGAGAGAGAGGGAAGGGACGACACCGAGCATACCAATGTGAGCCTTGGTGCTGCCACCACATCCTTCCTGCCAGCCTGCCCTGCCCACCAGGGAGGCAGGGGCAACCAAAACGAAAGGCAGTGACAGCACATTTCCTCAGTAGGGTTTGAGTGCCTCTCATCCTGCCAGAGACGTGCCGCGGTTTTCCCCTTCTACCTTCTTTTAAAACACAGTTTAAAATAGAAAGACAAGAATGACGGAGCCCGACTGGTTCCTGAAAATCCGGTAAGGGCTGGGGAAAAAGCTGTGCTGGGAAAGAGACCCTGCATGAAATTAGTACCCACAGTACTAAGCTTGGGACAGTCAGCCACCGCAGTAATGAGCTTGTGGGGTCTCAGCACGGCCGTGCTGGGGGTTTGGCAGCACCCTGTCCAAGTGTGAGCTGCGTGGTGTGTTCACAGCACTCTGAGTGGTCTTGTACCTTCCTTACTTTGCTCTTTTGCACCAACAGAGCACTTGGTAACCCTGTGACTTCATCTGGGCTGTCGGAGCAGGAGAGCATCGCCTGCCTCAAGCTGCCACTGGCAATAAGATGCAAAAGGCAAATACCTTGGCGAGGAAGGGGAGGGGCCTGTGGGGAGGCTGAGGGTGCCAAGCTCAGCCCTGTTGCACTGAGCAAGGAGCTCATCCACATGCCTCATTTTGTGGATTTTTCGTGGAGGTAACCGGGTTCTACCTGGAATGGGGCATCATCTGTTCCTCTGCACTCCCATGGGAAGTGTTGGCATCCTTCAGCTCAATGAGAAACAGCCCTGGGCTGGGACATCTTATTACTTACACAACTCCCCAGCAGCCGCTTAATTCCCAGCGCTTTGCCAGGGGAGAGAAGCCCATAGCAACTCTCCAGCCATAAACCCTGCATTTAAATCACCCTCAGGTTTGCTGAGTGTACATTTAAATGGACGGCAAATGAAATGAGATGTGATGTGTGAGCGAGTGAAACTGGAGCTGGAGGTGTTGCAGTACTTAGTGACCACTCTCAGTAGAAGTTTTTCACCAAAATGCTGATACCTGCTTTCTGATGGACTGGTGCCTTCACGTTGTTATTGTCCTTGTCAGTAAAGCTTTAAATTTATTCATGAAGCACGCTGGAGCTCAGGTGGCAATAGCTAAATCCATTTAGCAGTAGGAATACGGGGAAAGCCATTTTAATGTTCTCTTGCAGTGCTGCAGTACTTAGCAAACCCAAAGGATATTAATTACTCAGCATGCACTGAGATGTAAAAGCATGAATTTATCAAGACAAATACATTCAGAACTAGGGTAAGTCAACAGTAATTAACGCAATGCAAAAAAAAGGCAGAGAAAGGAAGGATTAAGTGGCCCTATCACAGGAGAACACAGTGTAGTGCTGACTTATTCCTGGGATATTATGAGGTGACTGGAGTTGTGGTGAGGCACCTCTAACAAAAAAAAATCAGCCTGTGCCTGTCAGGTGTATCCCTGGGATGGAGGTTTGGTTCTGGTTTGTGTTACCAAGGCAGAATGATGCAGGCAGTCTCTGAAATGCTAAGTTGTGCTTGGCAGCCAGCAGCAGCATTTCACACGAAGCCTTTGATGTTGGGAGGCACTTGTGAAGAAGAGGTGTGCAGGGCGTTTCTGCTTCTCACCACATTTGTCTTTGCTGTCCCAATGTTTTCATGGTGTTCAGCAAAGGTATAATCGTGAGCACAGCCACAGATGAGTGGCAGCTCAGGAGATGAATTGGTAGGCTCTCCTTGGCAAATTTAAGCATAGCATGTGTTTTTGTATTGCGTCCATTAGGGCAGACAAATGGAAAATCCAGAGATGACTGCTCTGCAATTTAACAGTCACAGCATTTGGAGAAGGCTGTTGTCTTCCTCATCACCAGTGATGGGTCAGCTTCAGGAAAAAGCAGAAAGCCTTTTAAAAACAAAAGCAATTTGAGCAAACGAGTCTAGCTGTGTTGTGTTTAAAGGTGATTCACTTTGTGCAGAGAAGTACAACCAGTGCTGATTCTTTGTCTCCAGGTCATGGGGATGACTTTAGTGACTTCAACCTAGAAGATGCCCTGTCTGATGACCTCAGCACCAAGCGACGTAAGTCACATTCATTTCTTCTTTTCAAGAGGACAGAACAAATAGATGTTAATAGATGCAATTCGTTCTTTGGGATGTGAGACTGGTGGGAAGGTGGTGGAAGATTTGAACTACCTTGTTGTCTGCCAAGGCATGTGCAGCGTCCAGGCTTGCTAACAGGTGGCACTGGCGATCGTTCTGGAGAAGCTGGTTGCTGACTTTGTGCACTTGCTTTTCTGATTCCCATGAGCAAGCCTCAGAGGCACACCAGTGCTTGATGTAGCAACGACACTGAGCGCATGTTTTTGGCTTTGCATGAGTCAGTAACATCTACCATCTGACATGACTCTGTCTGCCTGGAAGCGAACGTGTTAACCGCTCTCCAGCAGGTGAGGACACCCCCTGAGCTCAGCTGGGCAGGAGCAGTGCCACGTCCTGCCCTGGTCCCTTCTGAAGGGGATGCCTTGCTCCTGGCATGCTGATATTTAGTCTTTGGCTTTGAAATATCTAACTTTTATGGAAGCCAGAGTCAGGCTGTGTCACTGAGGGGAGCACAGGGCCTGCCAGAGCTCAGCCTCACAACTGGCAGAAACAGCATCGAGGGCAGGGGGTCAGTGGGGGGTTTGCACCAGCCTGGAGGTGGAAATTCAGCAGAGCAGCTCTCATTTTACACCCAAAGGAGAGAACCTAAGAACCTAATTGCCAGTGCAGCAGCTGATGGGAGGAGGTTCATCTCTCTGCTGGGTGTATGTCACACACCTCCTGCTGAGCTCAAGCTGGCTCTGCACCCAGACATGCCACCAGCTCCCCTTTGCTGCCTGGCCATGGAGGTGCCAATGCCAGTGCCCTCACTGCCCATCCCTCCCCATGCTGATCATGGTCACCATCCCCAGACCCAGTGCCCAGCTGGGCAAGAGCAGGGAGGGCTCTGTGAGTGATGCCAGTGCCTGTGATCACAGGAAATACACCTACCAGTGTTTAAGTGAAAACTATCACAGGGTTGGAAACCTCTTACTTTATAGTCTAACAACACACAGACACTCGTGCTGTGTTACACTGGAGTTTACATGGAATAAAAAGTCAGGATGCCCACAGGTCTCTCCTGTGGCAGGACAGGTTCAGCA